TTTTTTATAATAATTCCTTTTCTTTTTTTAAAAAAATTTTTTTATCAAACAAATTTATTTTAAAAAATTTTCTTGCTATTTCTACCGTTAAACCGTTTTAAACATTAAGAAAAATCGAACCATTTAGAACATATTTGATATAATGAAACATTTAATTTAAATTTTATTTATTTTATTTATAAAACGAATGTATTAAATTATTAAATTTTGTAAATAATGACAAATTTATCCGAATCATATAAAAATTTTGGTGAATGCACAGTTGCACTTCCTTTCCTCATGCATAACATAATTTTAATATAATTAATTTATTGTTGGTTAGCTTTGATTATATATATAAACCCCCCAAGTTTTTTTTTTTCCCTCTCGAATTTTACTTTTATCCTCCAACCTCAATTTAAAGAAAAAAAATAAATAAATAGATAGAGAAATAAATAAATAGATAATCCAATTCATTTTTAAGAAACAAAAGGACTTATTTTTCTGTGCCACTATAATAATATTGCCATTTCTATTATTACAGCCTAATATAATCTAATATTTACTATATTAATATATTAATACCGCTGTGAAAAAAAAAAAACTACCAAAAAAAAAATCATTCATAATGTTACTTAAATTACTTTCCAAATTTTCTACTCAATTTCAAGATTATTCTTCACAAAAAAACATCAATTCAAATAATAATAATAATAATAACAATAATAACAACAATAATAATTATAACAGTAACAATAACAATTATAATTATAGTAATTATTTATTTTCCACATTATATCCTAAATTATCCCCGGCGGCAACTTCTCGAGGTGCTGGAACTCGAAATAGTATAATTAGTGTAGATTCCTATTATTCATCATCATCATCAAATAATACTTTATACGACGAAGAAGAAGAAATTAAAGAAATTATACCAATGACGACTATTTGCGTAGAACAAGAAATTCATAGAGTTGCTTTTAAAACTTTACAACAAAGTATAGATCTTTTAAAAAGTTTACCTAATGACGAAGGTTTTGTTTATGAAAGTAAGCACGTTCCTTCAAGTACAATAGGAAAACATGTAAGGTAAAGTAAAATTAT